GCACCCATTCCCACCTGGGTGAAGTGAGGAAAATTCGTGTAAAGTGCCTTTCCCAAGGAAACAACGTCGGGCCCCTGACGGGATTCGAACCCACGACCTTACGGTTGCGAGTCCGAGAGCCTAACCACTAGGCCACCGACGCCACAACTTATTAACAATTAATAACACACGTCCCTGCGCAATACGATAAAACGTACGTTCAAAATTTACACATTTTAAAGGCGCTTTCCCTCTCCACTCATGCAAGATGTGCTATGTTTTGCATTTGTTTAACTTTATGTTAATTATGTATGTATGTGTGTTTGTGTTTGTGTGTGTTTGTGTATGTGTGTGTTTGTGTGTGTGTGTGTGTGTTTGTGTGTGAGTGTTTGCCTGTGTTTGGTTTCGTGTGTGTATGCGTGTGTTTGTGTGTGTGTATGTATGTGTGTAAGTGTGTGTTTGTTTGTTTGAAGGGGAGGGGTTTTCATAACAAGAAATGTGATGTTGAAGCATTTGATGGCTATAGGACTAACAAATACAAGCCAATTATAACTTTATCCTTTTTTCCTAAAACACAGTACATAGTTATTTCCTGTAGCTAACAACAACAACAACAACAACAACAACAACAACAACAACAATAACAACAACAACAATGATAATAATAATAATAATAATAATAATAATAATAATAATAATAATAATAATAATAATAATAATAATAATAATAATCTTATTGCAATGGAGCTAAGCCTGTTTGGGAGGTCAGTAACAATTATTTACACAGGTGCCCATTAAATCTTTAAAAAATATAATTCAGGCACGAGTTGTCGCAAAGGGTTACGTGGGCATATCTTTGAAGTTCTGAACCTAACTTTTTATTTTTCAGGTTTGAGCATTTTTCCTGAAAATCGAAGGTCTCGGGTGTTTTCACTCTACCTTTAGCCATTTCATATTTTTCTGTGGATTACTTCCGTTTCAGTTCGTGCTTCGTCGTGTATGTGCGACAGCTGCCTCTACTAGTTCCAGATCTAGAATCTCGATATCTGACTCTGATCGAATGTGTGTTTCACTGTGTCGATGGTTAGATCTACTTCAAGCCAAAGTTTACTGTATTGACTTTTTAAAGATACATTTGGTGTAGTCACGTCCCCAACACGTTGAGTTCGTTTAGACCCACAAAATGTTTACTTCGTTGTATTGACGATATAAAAACTTGGCGCGTATTTGGTGCGTATTTTTTTTTTATAGAGCAAGACTCTAGATCTCGATCTCTCTATATCCTAGATATATTTGAAGCACAGAATGCAAGACTGATTTGGAGTAGTTAACAAGAACAAAAGTGTCGTTTGTGCTTTGTGGCTGAAGGGTCATGGGTTTGAACCCTGCCACCATAGAGCCGAAATTGTGTCCTGGTAGAGGTACGCGTATGTTGTATGAATTTTCCTCATTTCATAGAAGTGGGAATGGGTACCGACTGCAGGCGGAAAGATGTCTTGTAATAATTATACTAATACTAGATCTAATAATATATTTTTAAAAAATAAATAAAATAATAATAATAATAATAATAATAATAATAATAATAATAATAATAATAATAATAATACTGATGATGATGAGAATTTGATAATTGCATTTACATATTATAGCCCATAACCACTCTTAATGCATTTTACAACCATCATTACCACAGCAGACCCTAAAACACTCTGAAACATTCCCAGTTTCCCAAGAAGCATACAACAGTGCAAGATGCGGATTACACGTGCCCAAACCAAAAAAAACTGACAAGATATTTCGCTGTCTATAGCCGGGTACCCATTCCCACCTGCTGAAGTGAGGAAAATTCGTGTAAAGTGCCTTTCCCAAGGAACGGCCTTAAGGTTGCGAGTCCGAGAGCCTAACATCTAAGGCTACCGACTACCGATGCCCAGGCCTGTCGAGAGGGGGGGTCGGGGGGGGGGGCAATGCTGCCCCAGGTGATTGCTGCCCCAGGGCCCGACCTGCCGATGTCTCTAAAGACAATAGTTCTAGCCCGCAAAGCTAGCCCACAATTCTCAGTCGTAACAAATCTATGGATCCTTGAACGGAATAAAACCTCAAGCAATCAGTGGGGCTTCCACGAAAAGTGTTCAATAAAATCGAATCGGTTGTCACTGAGATATCAGTGTGAACTATGCTTTTTTTCAAAAACAAAATGTTTTAACGAGGAGGTGGGGTCATCTATCAAAGGCACACACAACGTTAATGTTGTGCAGTTTCCAAGGAAACATACGCCTAAAAAGTTTGAAGGCCATTTTCTCGCTAATTTACTTCTGACACTTGTCTTATTTTGATAATAACAACTATATATATATATATATATATGTATATATATATATATATACTATTATGTAAATACATATTTATGCCCATATCGTATGTAGACAGATATAAATGGATCTGTTGTGTGGGTGTTTGGGGGATTTAGATAAATGTTTGTATAGGAGTTGGGAGGGCATTAATGATGAACAATGGTGGTCGGCGAAAAGATCGAGGAGCATGCAACATGATAAAATAGAGTCAGTTAAAACGGAAGTAATACACACTGGAGAGAGGAAGGGCGGCATGATTTAGTTTCAATTCTGGTAGGTCGGTGTCAGACGTGAGCTGTACTTAGATTGTAGGAGTGGTTGAGTGGGGAGATGATTAGACTATCATGGCGAG